AAATAATACTTAATTAAAATAAATTATTAAATTAATAATTGATTATAATAAAACCACTAAAATTACTAATTAATTTAAATAAAATTTTAAAAGAAATAAAAATTTAAATAATAATATTAAATTTTTAATTATTTTTTTTAAATTAGTGAAATAGTTAATTTAAATTAATTAATACCATTTTTAATCATTTTTTCTTATATTATTTAAAATCACCCAGAAACAAATCCACTAGAAAAGCTGTCGGAAAAAAGCTACCGAAAATCTATTAGAAATATTTTCATTATATTCAATCAGAAAATCGCATTCGGCTTATACGCTGGAAAATTATTAGACGAAAATCCGTCGGAAAATTCCGTCAGTAATGAATGATTTGCCTGCACTATAAGATAAAACAACTAATTATAGGATATTAATTAGGTGAAATTGACATAGATAATAATGAAGCCATAATTTTTATTGAGATAACTTAAGAGAGAATATCTGATTATAGGTATAACTACTCCAACAATGTTTGGGCATAGGAGCTTAGATTTGACAAACAAAATTGAAGAGATCCAAAGCAAGCCTTTGAACAGAAATGGCCCAGCTAGCAAAGAAAACAATATTAATCAGGTGAAATTGACATAGATAATAATGAAGCCATAATTTTTATTGAGATAACTTAAGAGAGAAAATCTGATTATATGTATAACCACTCCAACAATGTTTGGGCATAGGAGCTTAGATTTGACAAACAAAATTGAAGAGATCCAAAGCAAGCCTTTGAACAGAAATGGCCCAGCTAGCAAAGAAAACATATTCACAATTATAGGTATAACTGCAACAAAGAGAGGCTTAGATAAAATCAATGATTATAGTATGAAAAGAATTTGTAAAGGGGCACCATATAAAAAAAATGTTAAAAAAAAAATTAAATAGTTTGCTACTAACATATAAAAAAAGTCAAAAGAGAAAGTCTCATTCTTTCATTAACATAATTAGAAAATAAAATAAATAAGTACTTAAAGTAGTAGGCAATTTTTTATAACTGATCATGTGGAGGGATGAACAAATTAATGATTATTGTTGAAAATTCAGGTCAATCTAACTAATGGAGCAAGAAAATGTCATAAATTGATGATAAATACCCTCATCAAAAGGAGAAATTATTCTGTGCGGAGTCTGGAAGAGAAGAACCATCTGGACATGTGAGTGTAAATACTATGCACACGTTTATACATAATGTGTATCAAATCAGTGTACACATTAAATGTTCACTCACATGTCCAGACGGTTCTTCCCGTCAGGACTCCGCACAGAATAATTTATCCATGAAAGGACACATAAATAAATTAGTTAACATAAATTTTCATTAAGTTAATCTTAAAAATGCTTTAAAGTGTTAAGTAATTAAGTCGGGAATAACCAACAATGTTGTTTTACATCAACCATTTACTTGATCATAAGTTCTTTGAATCAGTAGTTTGCTACTACGAATCACCACCGGCTCTAACCATTGATGCTAATATGAGTCATTCAAACTAGCTCATCCACAAAAGAGTTGGCCAATAATAATATTTTGAGCACTCGATCTAATCAAATCTTAACTTGATGTAATTTGTTAGAGACTGCATAATTAGAGATTAAGTTTCTTTTGATTACTAGAGAGTATCTTCTCCTAGGATTCTTCTAGAAGCTAGGCCTTCAAAAATTGTCTCTAGGATTCTCTTTAGTTGGACACCCTATAACATAGCGCCGGCTAGCTATAGGAGACACATAAACCACTTAGGGTATTTCCCTATGGTACAAGGCTAGGTCTACTTGATCTAAATTGAGCTCATTCACATCAAAATTGATCAAACCTGAGTTAGATTAAGTCAACAAGCAAAACTAAACTAAATTCAATCGATAAAAATATACACATTTTACATTAATGTGAATAAAATCTGATTAAATCTAAAAATATTGAATCAATTCAACTCGACTCGATTCTAGTCTAATTTAGATTTGGCAGCTTTGATTAGCCAAATTTAACTCGTCTCTATTTACTTTAACTTAAAATCAACATTGATTAGCTTAAAATCGGCTTGACTCTTGCAAATTTAAACAAAATTTAATCACACTAAGCTCCCCCTTCCTCCAAGACGCTATGGAATCGGGGAAATTATTAGGTCTGGACATCCAATTAAAACTTGCCACATGGACTACGTTTTTATTGTGCTTTTTGACTGAGCTTTGACTATACTTTGACTGCGCTTTTGATACGCTTGACTTAAAATTTGATGGATAATTGTACATTTTTCACATGTTAATATTTTATTGATGTCTAGACTTATCTCTAAGTCCCCGGACCTAATAATTTTCGCTGGAATCGGCGGCTCCTTCTCTTCTTTCGTTTTCCTGCATAGGAGTGGGGCAGGTGAGAGTGGAAGAAAGGGGTGGCGGCGTTGTTTTTCCCCTGTTTGTTCGTCCCCAGCTGGCTAAAGGAGAGAGGAAGGCAGGGTTGCATTCCTTGGCAGCTCGATGGAAAACAGCAGGCTTACAATTCTCTTCTTTTCTTCGGCTTCCTGCGTGCGAATAAGAAAAATAGCAGTGAAGGTAAGAAGGATACCTTCCTCTTCTTCTCCTTACCTCAATGAGAATGTGGCTTTTCACCTTTTTCTATAGCTGGAAATAGAATAGGTAAAGGAGGTATTCTTGTGATGCTCTTGTTGCGATCTTTTGTTGAACACTTGAAATTTGTTGATAAATTGCCTTATTCTTGTCTAGATGAACTCGGAGTCTTTTCTGCTGTAATGTAAAGGAAGAAGCGAAGCATTTTGTTCTATGGCAAGGATGCTATTTTAAATGTTTAGAGTATTTGGGGTTGTGATTTTCTTTTGTTGCATATGGTGCAGCCATTTGGCAATTTGTACTTCATTCTTCCTTGTTGCGTCCTGGAGTATTCGTGGCAGTAGAGAAATATAAAGTTTAATGTCTTAGCTTTGTATGAAGATCCAATATATAATCAGATAAAAGAGAGGGTGTAACATTCATAAGGGACACCAGTTTTTACGATGAAACCCCTGAAAAACAGGAAAAAAATCACAGGGTCTTGCTTAGTTTGAATGAATGTACTAGTGTTTGCAGTTAATTACAAATGAGGCCCTTCCTTAGGGGCAAGGCCTTGGCTTGATATAATAAATATACATTACATAGAATGTATTACCTGATGGAAATTCGAAGAATCAATATTGATATATTCATTTGGTCGATAAGACCATAATCAACAAGCGATGGAGATCAGAAAGACCGAATTCAGGTGACGATGGTTAGAAGGACTGTAGTCGGCGTGCGACAGTGGTCAGAAAGTTGGTTGTTTGGATGCATAAGTCGGAAGGATTATAGTCGGCGGGCGACAGTGGTCAGAAAGACCGTTTTTGGCGATGGAAGTTGGAAGGATATTAGGCTGGCGACGAAGATCATAAAGATCTTAGTTTGACGACAGAGGTCGGAAGGATCGTAGTTGCCGGGTGACAGTTGTCAGAAAGACCATTGTCTAGCGACGCAGGTCGGAAGGATCGTTGTCGGCGGATGATAGTGGTAAAAACGATCATTGTTTGACTACGGAGGTCGAAAGGACATCAATTGACAGATGATAGTGGTCAGAAAGACTGTTTTATGGCGATAGAGGTCAGAAGGATCGCAGTCGGCTAGCGACTGTGGTTAGAAAGATCGTTGTTTGACAATAGAGGTTAGAAGGATTATAGTCGGCGGACAACAATGGTCAGAAAAACCATTGTTTGAAGACGAAGGTCTGAAGGACCGTAGTCAGTGGGCAACAACGGTCAAAAAGAATGTTGTCTGGTGATGGACGTCGTGGCCTGGTGTCAGTCTGGACTGGGCAGAAATCCGACGACAGTCGGTGGCAGGGTGATGGTCGAGGAGGAGCTTGGTGGCAAGAGAGATCTCAGATATCTCTTTCTCTCCTCTCCTCTTTCCTTTTTGCCCCCTTTGCTCCCTCCTTCCTTCCCTTTTTAAATGAAAAATGATGGGTTTATTTATAGTTTTTTGAGAGTGCCATGACCAATAAATAGAGAGGAGATCAAGGGCATGTTAAAAGTGTTTTGAATGGATGGCTGATATCAATTCCTTTGATCATGGACTGTTTATTGAGTATTTGAGTGTCTTAATGATGTTAGAAGTCAACGATCTTGAGCTCATTGGATTTGTCTCGTCGAGCCGCTCGATTCGACTATAAGCATGTCACATTTGGAAGCTGTTTGGTCATCCAATTTATGGTTTGAACCTTCCAATGGCACTTCAGGTTTTCGATTTGGACCCATTTGGGCTCGGATTGGATCAAATTTGGTGCCGTTGGGTTCGTCTTTTTAAGACATTCAGTTCGATTATAAGTTTGCTGAAATTGGAGTTCATATGGTCTCAAATTTAATTTTAGAAGTTTCTAACTTGATTTTGCCTCGAGATTCATGCCCGATCATGATTAATTGATGATATATCAGTTGCCCCCCTATTTTCCGAAGTCGAAGTTTACAGACTCCGAAAATATGTATCAGAGCTCTTCGAATCATTTCAACACAGATTATAATTTTCGAAAAATTTCATGGCCTGATCATTCCCTGGATGTCAACGTGGACCTCTTCTCGAGGCCATAAACTAAGTAAATTACCCTTAATTATAATTTCAGATTGTTATGGGGTCGGCTCATTGATCGGGACAAAACTTGTCGAAAAAGTTTGCCCCAAAATTGTCGAATTTGTTCAAAATTGACTGCAAATGCTTTGTTTAGCTCTGAAAGCGCTTAAAATGAGTCAAAAAATGTTAGAAAACGGTCTCATTGATCCAAAAAATGTCCGAATTGGACTGTCTAAGCCAAAAATTGGACTCAGACGTACATTGGCGCACGGACGTCGTTGTAGGAGTCGACCCACATTGCCCCGTGCAGCGTAGCTGGAAAGACGAGCCCCTTAGGCGCACGGCTCTGTCAAATGCAGTATGTTATAACCGGCTTGATGCGGGTTATTTGGCTGAGCTGGCAGGAACCCATCAGGCTCATGTGCCCACTATCTCCATTTTCTAACCGTTTGCTATTTTCTGCTAGTTTAGTACATCTGGCACCTTTTACTACATAGAAGTAGTTATAGTAATAGGAATTCCTCAGCTAGAATGAGGATATAAACTCTTTTCTCAGGAACGAAGGAGGACACAGAATATACTATCCTTTTAGCTATTTGCTTGTCTTGTGTTACTGTTTTATTGTGCAGGTTTCTTCTTAGCTGCAATAGGCGCTGCTGCATATTGGTATCAGAGCCCACCTGGGAATGGCTGAAGGCAGTTCTAAGAGAGCTACCGAAGAGGAGAGGACGTTGGATGCAGTGTGGGCGGCTCAAGCCAGCTTTACACAGCAACTGGATGAAATGAGAGCAGATCTATTTCGCCTCTCTATGGAGATGAGGACAGAAATGGCTGCATTTCGAGCAATGCTTCTCCCCGCCGGCAGGGGATGTATACCAACTCCGGTACCACCGATTGGGGGACAACCAGTCAACGAAACCCGACGGCGACAACCTGTTCCTACAACCGATTTCTCAGATTCAGAAGGTGAACCCCACTACCGGGTGAATCCGGATCAGACTGAGTCAGAAGGCGAGGGGCATCAACAGTTTCAAGAACCCCCAAGGCGACGATATCGGCATCCCCGAAGAGAACAAGGGGAATTTAAGGTGAAGTTGGACATCCCATATTTCGATGGGCACTTGCATATTGAAGACTACTTGGATTGGGAACGGGCCGTGGAAACCTTTTTTGAATATTTGGAGATTCATCCGGAGAAACAGGTTAAGTACGTCGCTTGCCGTTGAAAGGCGGCGCTAGCGCCTGGTGGTTGCAACTTTTGCAGGCTCGCCGGCGAGAAGGACGGGGGCCTGTTCGTAGCTGGATTCGAATGAAGCAACTGCTTAGGGGCCACTTTTTGCCGACAGACTACGAACAAATATTGTATCTCCGGTATTAGCGCTGTGTCCAAGGATCACGGATAGTGAATGAATACACCGAAGAGTTTTATAGACTCAACGCTCGCAACAACTTGCAAGAAACTGAGAATCAATTGGTTGCTAGATTCATTAGAGGCTTACGAGAACAACTTCATGAGAAGCTAGAAATGAATTCTATCTGGTCGTTATCGCAGGCAGTGAACTTCCCATTGAAGGCGGAAGCGCAATTACAACGCCATTCCAGAAGTTATTCCAGCCGGAAACCATTCCAACAGGAGTCTCCAGGTGATATTTCCCGATCAGCCGTAGCATCAGCCAAGCCACCCACGGTCTCAGGTTCCGTTTCTAGCCCTCAAACGGTAGAGCCGAAGTTTCCTGCCCGAGCCAAAGTGCTACCCAAAGAAAACCCATACGGCAGACCATCAACTCTAAAATGTTTCAGATGTTTTCAGCCCGGGCATAAATCCAACGAATGCCCCAACCGACAGCAACTTCAATTGGTGAAGGTGATAACCGTGAATTTAGCGGAGAACCTGAAGTACCTGCTGATGATGAAATTGTTACCAAAGATGTATGTGGGGACGTGGGAGAACCCCTTGTGTGCGTCCTGGAGAAGCTTCTATTAGCTCCCCAGCATTCCGTGCCATCACAGCGAAACACTTTGTTTCGAACAAAATGCACCATCCAAGGGAAAGTATGTGATTTATTGGTGGACAGTGGGTGCACCGAGAACGTGATTTCTCGTTCCGTAGTGCAGGCTTTACAGTTGAAGACTACAAAAAAATCACATCCCTACAAGATTAGCTGGGTTAAGCGCGGAATGGAAATCACGGTACTTGAGACGTGTGCGGTAACCTTCTCCATAGGTAAGCATTATGTCTGCAATGTGGTCTGCGACGTCCTGGATATGGATGTTTGCCATATCATTTTAGGCCGGCCGTGGAAATTTGACTCCAACGCCAATTACGACTGTCGGGGCAACATTTATTCTCTTGAATGGAATGGCAAGAAGCTGAGACTATTGCCACAGATGACTGAAAATATAGGCCAAAATGACAAGGGGAAGGCGGTGGCATATTTAGTCTCAGGACCGAAGCTCCTATTAACGCCTTTAGCGGAAACGTCCATGTTGGCTCTAGTGACTACTGAATTCCAGGATACTACCGAGAAGATGCCACTACCGGAAGGAATCCGCATTCTTCTGCAAGATTTTGCGGATATTACTCCGTCCGATCTGTCGACCGAGTTACCACCGCTCAGCACCATCCAGCATCAGATTGATTTCATCCCCGGCTCGTCACTACCAAACCTTCCACATCATCGGATGAGCCCAAAAGAACATCAAATCTTTCAAGAAATTGTGGAAGATCTCCTCCGTAGACAGCTCATCCAGCACAGTATGAGTCCCTGTGCCGTACCAACTCTTATAGTTCCAAAGAAAGACGGACAGTGGAGGCTATGTATTGATAGTAGAGCCATTAATAAAATTACGACGAAGTATCATTTTCCGGTGCCCCGCATCTCAGATTTGCTAGACAAGCTACATGGATATGTGGTTTTCTCTAAACTAGATTTACGCAGTGGTTATCATCAAGTACGCATTAG